CTGAGCTCTGGGGTGGCCCTGCTGGAGCAGAGAGGTGGCACCAGATGAGCCACGGTGCTCCCTTCCAGCCTGACCCAAGCTGTGTGACTGAGATGGCCCCACACCACACCCTGAGCCATGGGGACAAACCCTGGCCAGGGCACGGGCAGCTGGGTCAGCTGGGGCTGCCCATGGCCCGGGGCATCCACTCTGTGCAGCCCAGGCAGCTGGGATGGCTTTGGGAGGGGGCACAGCCCTGCCCCTGCTCCGTGACCCCCAAACTGCCCCTGGATGCCCTGCAAGAATCAGGGGAGCTCAGTGTAGAGCAGAGAGGGGCTGCAGATCCAGAGGGGCTCACACAGCAACAGGAGGACTCTGGATCAGTTTGGTGATGCTGCCACAAGGGGGGAAAAAAAAGGACTTTATTGTCTCCTTTACTGTCTCCTCTGGGGAGTGAAGGCAGCACTGAGCCACCACCACTGGGAATGGAAGTTACCCATCAGAGCAAGCAAAGGCAGAAATTATGTGGGATTTCTTGTAGAAAATCAGCTTTTTAAGGAGTATTTGAATCAGCATCTGCTGCTCCAGAGAGGTGACCCACAGCAGCACCAGCTGTCACCATCCCCAGCTCCATCCCCTGTGTGCAGGATGGCAAATGCCACCAGCGAGTCCACAGCAGTGGCACGAACTCAGTGTGGTGACATTTGCTGCTCTTTATGCACTGCCAGAGAACTTTTCACACTTCATCTCCTGTCTCCTGTGAGAGGGTTTTGGAGAGCTCCAGCAGAAATCTTTGCTGCCAGGCTGGGGCTGTGTGCTGCCCTCCATGCTGAGAAAACACCTGGGATCAGCAGCAGCTGGAAATTATGGAGCCTGGCTTTTTCCTAGCAGACTTCTGGCCCCAGAGCACTTTCCCAAATTTTCTAATCCCAACTATGAGGACTAAGGAGTACAGAATGGTGTCCCAGGAGGGCACAGGGCAGCTGTTCAGCTGAACAGAGGAGGAGAGGCTGAGGACATGGAACCCAACTGCAAAGGAATGGTGTGGTCAGCACAGGCAGAGCAGAGCACAGAGGTGCCGCACAGGATATTTGGGACAGAAAATAACGGCAAAGAGGCTTTTGTCTCTAGGGTAGCAACAGCTTCTGGCCCATGGAAGGTGTGTCTCAGGGTGTCTGTACTCCCCATGGCTTTCCTGATGATGATTTGATGGATATCCAGGAGAATTCTGCTGTGATTTTTGTTGTTGTTGATCTCAAATGCTTTGCAACAAAGAGAATTCAGTAACACAATTAAATTAACATAGCACTTGCAGAAATCCTCACATCAAAGGGGAGAGAGAGTCTCTTTTGCCCAGTATTTCATAGAATAATTATGGTTATTGCCTGTGCAGTAACTTCAGAAGGCTCCTGTGCAGAACCCCAGCCCTGTAGCAGTGGATTCTGTCTGAATGACTAAACAGAACTGTTTCATATTTTGGAGAACTCCTCTTTTCACCCAGGATTGCCTGTGCAGGTCCTACTCCTGTTACACAAGATCACAGGGGCTGCCACCCCTGTCTGTAGCTCTGACAGCGTCACACAAATGGTAAAACCCCTGAAACTCAGAGCACTGAGACAGTGAGCAGAGTGATTGTCTTGGTTTGGAAAGAAAGGAGTCTGCTAAGGAAAGCAGGAGCCTCCCCTGAAATGGAAAATGTAAACCCCCTCCCTCCACATTGTTATAAATTCTAAATTAAGGAGCTCTCTGGCAAAAATATGGGAGCAGGAATAACAGTTCTTTATTAGGGAAGAAAATAAAAGGATAAAATAAACAATGCAGTAAACCAAGCCAACACTGACAGAGTCAGAACCCAATCTGACACCCTGGGGGTCAGGGTGTTGGCAGCAGTCCCATTGGAATTGTGGCTCAGCCCTCCTGCAGTGTCAGGGGTGGTTCTGCTGGAGCAGGGATCCTGTAGAGAAGGATGTATTCTTCCTCTGAAGATCCAGGGGAAGAAGAGGCAGCTGCTGTTCCTCTGGGGAATCCAGTGGAGAAGCTGTGCTGGTGTTCCAGAATCTCCAGATTCTATCCAGGTAGGAATGCTTGGCTCCTCCCTCTGGGCTCCCATCTCCCAATGGGATGCTGTAGTTCTTATCAGCCATGCAGTGACATTCAATAGCTGTTATCAGCAGATGTCTGCCCTGAGAGAGGATTGGTTGTGGAAGAAATGAGGAAAGCTGCCCACTGAACAGAAGACAGCTGCCATACAAATGGCAGACAGAACACAATTTGCTTGTCAAGCAAGGACAGTGATCCCTGCTTTAAAGGTGAGCCAATAAGGGGAAGAGAAACAGCAAAACTGTTGGAACCAAAATGCAATGACCTCTCAGAACTTTGGGCCTGTAAACCAAAGCTTAGAATTAAACACAGGATTTGGTCTGAGATCTTGGAAAACCTTCCAAACTCAGGTGCTGGAAGTGAGAATGTGAATTTGTAGTTTAAAGCAGAGACAGATAAAGCTAAGTAAATGAAAGTTCAGAGTTTTAGAGTTAGGATATAGAAAAAATAAAAGCAGTTACAGAAGTAAACAAGGAGTTTAGAATGCAGTACTGAAGGTTTGTGTGTCATAACATGATTGGCTAAGAAAGCTTACATTGTAGCATGAGTCCATAAGATGAAATATTTAAGGATTGGGTCAAAAACATAAATATCCTTGTTAGCAGTGTTTTATTGGTCAATAACTCCTTAAAAGTTCTCATAACTAGAGGTCTTGTGACCTTCTGAACCATGCAATAAAGATGCGAGCTGAACTCACCCTTCCTCCCTGTGTAGAAGATAAGAAAAATAAACCCCATCATCAAAAACAATTCAGAGGTTCTGTCTCAAATTCCTTCCAAAATTCCCCACAAATGAATTATCACACAAAACTATGACCACCAACAGCCCTTTTGAGCCAGGGCTGTGAAGCTGACACTGCCCACGCTGCTCCCAGCCACTTCTCTAATGACTGCAGCAGGACACAGACATATGGGAGCCCAGCTTCCCCCTGTGGCAGCCCCATGGGCACAGAGATTTCCTGATAAATGAAATCACAGGTTTCATGTTTTCTGAAAGGTTTAAGTGCCACAAAAGGAAGTATCAAGTTGGGATCCACAGGCCTGGAAAACTGATGGATAACCCAGATCCTTCCTGCATCCCACTACTCTTTCCTTAGACTGGAATGGGTTCACACCAACATGAGTGTCCCTTTGGGGACAGAGGAGTGACAGGAGTGTGGCAGTTCCAGTGTAAGTGCCTGGACAGACACCTGGACACACTTGCCACGTGCTGGAGGTGCTGAGCAGAGGCACCCATGTCCCCATCAGCATCCCTGCACTTCCAGCCCTTTGGGCCACATGCAGGCTGTAGGAAAGGGGTTCAAGGACAGCAGCAGGGTGTCCCTGCTCTGCCTGGGAGGAGGACACTGCCACATCAATGACCTTCTCACTCCCAGTGGGAGCAAATAAAGCACTTTGTCAATGGCTTCATTGACAGAGTGTGCTCAATGTGCTCAATGTGACAATGTGGTCACCCAGAGACTGTTCCTGCTCCCTGGAGTCACAGAATTCACAGAATCACTGGGTTGGAAGAGACCTCAAAGATCACCAAGTCAAATCCAGCCCCAACCCCTCAACTAAACCCTGGCACCCAGTGCCACATCCAGGCTTTGTTAAACACACCCAGGGATGGGGACTCCACCACCTCCCCGGGCACATTCCAGAACTTTATCACGCTTTCTGTGAAAAACTTTTCCCTGCTATCCAGCCTGTATTTCCCTTGGTGCAGCTCGAGGCTGTGTGCTCCGGTTGTGTCAGTGCTGCTGCAGACAGAGCCCAGCCCCAGCTGAGCACAGGCACCTTTCAGGAGCTGTGAGAGTGATGAGGGCACCCCTGAGTCTCCTTTTCTCCAGGCTGAGCACCCCCAGCTCCCTCAGGTGTTCCTCACAGGGTTTGTGTTCCCAGCCCCTCACCATCCTTGTTGCCCTCATCTAGATGTGCTCCAGTGTCCCAGTGACCTTCCCAAACTGAGGGGCCAGAGCTGGACACAGGGTTAAAAGGCAAAACATCCGTTGTGTGGATGGGCACATGGTGGGGAAAATCCTCTGCTCCCAGCGCTGTGTTTATCTTCTCTATTCAGTCTGCTGTTGTAATTTTTGATAAGGCTTTATTAAACCTTTTTAAAATGTTTGAAAGTATCATTTCTCACAAGTATCACTGGGGAAAGGGAACCACCCAACCCCTGAACAACTTCTGTAATATTTTGTTACTGCTAGCCTGAAATGTCTCAGATGCTGTGCTGTGTAACCCCACGGCACAGATTCATCTCTTCACACGCCATCCAACCCAAATAAACTTCAGCTTCACTTTGGAATCGATCGGCAAATCAAGGAGCTCTGCTGCTCCCCTGGGCAGCCCACCCACCCTCCCTCAGGAATGTCACCCTCCCGCAGGATTTTAACCCTCCCTGGCCCTCTCTCCTTCCCCAGCCGTGCTGGTTTTGCTCGAGCAGCTTCAGCAATTAATTCAGGAATTAATTCAGGAATTCTCCCTCTCCGTGTGCTGTACAGAGGGTGCTTTGCCTTCCACCGCTCCCGGGATGGAACAACCCGAACCCCTGTGCTGCCCAGAGCAGGGGAGGCACAGCAAGCCATGCTTATCAAACCCTGCTGCTTTAAACAGGCTGCAGCAAAGCCACGCTATGCCTCACGTCACCGGGGAGCAAAAATAGCCGGCACGAGTGGAGGGAGGGGAATGGGAGTATTAAGAGCGCCCAGATTTCAAACATACTTGGCTGGCAGCACGCTCCCTTCCTGCCCCTGCCGCTCCAGATGCGACAGAGCTCTGGGATCTCTCACCCTCTGCCCGTGAAGAAGGATTCTCTTCTTTCTGGTTTTTTTCCTCTTTTTCTTTCTTTAAGTTTCAGCTTTGATACTACTAAACAGATTTTTTTATTATTATTATTATTATTATTATTATTATTATTATTATTATTATTATTATTTTCTTATAGGAAACTTCATCCACCGGATTTAAAAGCAAGGTTTGAGCAGGAGAAATTTGTTTCTGTTTACAGCTGTACATATGCATGGTATACTCCTGTGGGATGATATCGTAGAGGGGAAATCGCCTGCACTGTAAGATGCTTGAATGGCTGCTTGGAATAACAAGCCCTGTGTTGTGTGTGCATGTGTGTGTTTGTGTACCAGAGCAGCAGTGATGGCAACTTTAAAATTATAAAAAGGCTCCTTATTTGGCTTAATTTTTCTCTTCGAGCTCTGTCTGGAGATGGGCGAAGTGTCTGAGTGGAATTGGTGCTGTAGGGATTTTATGAATGGAGCAGGAGGCAGGTTCAGCAGAAGAGGAGCAGAGCAGGGAGATGCAGTGGGCTCGGCTCTCTCCAGCAGGAGCTGTCACTCCAGGGAACTGCACAGACAGGCACCAGCATGGCACAAATCTGCCACAAGTCCCTGGGACACCAAACGAGGCAGCTGCAAGGAGGCAGCCCCTGAGCCTTGGAAATATGCTCCTGAAAATGAGCTCTCACCAGCACACCGAGCCCAGAGCTGTGTGTGGGACCAGCTCCGGGCTCAGCTGGAGCATCCCGTGCAGAGCTGCTCATTTCTGTGCCCTCCTGCTGGTTGTGAGGCTGAGGAGCAGCCACAGCTCCGGGAGCAGCTGTGTCTCCTTCATGGGAGTCACTGTCACTGCCAGCTTGGACACCAGCACCGATAAAAGGGACAAAGGGGCAGTGGGACAGACTGGCTGCACCTGCCCTACAGCAGGAGGGCACTGCACAGCACAGCAGGAGCAGGATTTGGGGTTGCAGGGTCCAAGAAATGGATCTTGATGCTGGTGAAGCTGTGGGGACCAGCCCAGAACAGCAGGGTCCTGAAGGAGCACTGCAGAACCACGCTCATCTCTCACCTGTACTTGAGGGACTGGGGTGGAAGATGGGCTCTGTGTGTTTTTCTGGTTTTTTGTATTTTTATTCCAACTTCTAAGTGAGGGAAAATCTCCCTCTGCACTGGATTGTCCTCTCTTATCCAGAGTTTTTTTGTGACATCTCTGCAGGTGGTAATGGGGAGAAGGTGAGGGAAGTCACGAAGAGGATGAAAATTGTCCATCCTCAATGGTCACAGAGGCCACTGACAGGGTGACAAAAGGACAGCAGGGGCAAGCCTGGCACTGTGATCCTCCTGCCAAGGAGACTGTGGGAGGAAAGAGATGAAGGACTCAGAGCTGGTGAGGAGGGAAAGGGACACCCAACTCACTGGGAAACGCTGCAAATTCCCAGGATTAAACAAATCCAGACTGCCCAGTGGAACAAGACAGAGAGAAGTCAGCCTGCTGAGCCCTACGAGGACAAGGCAGCCCAGCACTCTCTCTCCTCAGTGTTTTCCTAAGAAAAAGAGACAGTCTGAGTGCTCTAAAACACGTAATGCAAACGCACTTCTGTATGCAGGGACCTTTAGGATGGCACAGGCTTTTTGAATGCCTTAAAATCTGGGCATTTTAGCCACTTCTTCAACATTTCTCTGAGGAAGGTTTGCTCTCTTTTTGCCTACACCCAGAATGAATTCAGAGCAACACAATCCTGATTTGTGCAGCGCTGAGTCTGAGCTCAGCAGAGGCTCCCACGTACAGAGTTGCCTCACATGGTGTCTCACACCTCACTGCTCAAGGCTGCTCAGGCAGGTTCACACCAGGCTCTGGCTCAAACAGATCTGTTTTACAGACACGTGGACACCTCACATGGACAGAGAGAGTGAAAAACCCTGTGTTTACAGACACAGAAATCCCACAGGGAAACTGCACTTTGCTTTATGAAGTGCTTTTTCCTCCAGCACTCGAATGCTGTTTGAAACTGCAGGACAGAGGAGGAGTTTCTCATTCAAGGGAAACTGCTCTGTGAAAACACTGCAGGAATGCTGGACAGGACTCTGAATGCATCACTGACACAGAACAGACAATTTGGCTGCAAATGATAAATCTAAAGTTTGTTTTCCCCTTTTCAGGGCCTTCTGCTCCTTCAAAGTTAAGAATGTGGCAAAGAGGTTTAAACAATCATGCTGATGGTTCTAAATCATTGTTATAAATTTAGGAAGGATGTTTTTTTCCTTCAACCCTGAACTAAGGACTGCAGTAAGTGGTTCCAGTGATCCACACAACCGTTTTTTTGTTTCTTTTCCATGCACACATCTCACAGCTGGGTGAGGTGAGCACAAGCCCTACAAGAGTGGCTTCAGTGCCAAAGGCCTTTGGTACATTCAGGCAGTGCAGATACATGCTCAGAGACAGGTAACTTTTAAATGAACTTTTGTGTTGCTCTGGCAGATTTCTAACACGTTGTTTTTGCTGTCTTTCCTCTAGTGGAGAATGCAGATGGTCCTTGGATGAGACACTGCTGGAAAATGGTTCCACAGCTCCGCGCAGCTGCATTTGTCAGAGCAGAGAGAGCCCCCTCAGACCCCTGTGACATGAGCAAAGCCTCTGGCATTTAAACCCAGGAGAATGTCCCTAAGTGACGAGCTGGAGACCCACTTCACAACCCCCTCCATGGTGACAGACACAGGTGAGGATGGCGTGTTCAGAATCAGGCCCAATGTCTCAGCCAACGGCACCGGGGACGGCGTCTGGGTGGCCGGCTCCACGGAGGACATGGTGGCCATCTGCACCATCGGGGCCATCCTGTCCCTCATGTGCGTGGTTGGGGTGACAGGCAACGTCTACACCCTGCTGGTGATGTGCCACTACCTGCGCTCCTCCGCCTCCATGTACATCTACATCATCAACCTGGCGCTGGCCGACCTGCTCTACCTCCTCACCATCCCCTTCATCGTCGGCACCTACTTCATCCAGAAGTGGCACTTTGGGGACGTTGGCTGCCGCATCCTGTTCAGCCTGGACTTCCTCACCATGCATGCAAGCATCTTCACCCTCACAGTGATGAGCACGGAGCGCTACCTGGCCGTGCTGAAGCCCCTGGACACGGTGAAGAGGTCCAAGAGCTACCGCAAGGCCATCGCTGTGGTGATCTGGCTGGTGTCACTGCTGCTCACCCTGCCCATGCTCATCATGATCCAGCTGGTGCAAAGGGACAACAAAAGCATCTGCCTGCCCACCTGGAGCAAGCTGTCCTACAAAGTGTATCTCAGCATCCTTTTTGGCACCAGCATCGTGGGCCCTGGGGTGGTCATTGGCTACCTTTACATCCGCCTGGCCAAGATTTACTGGGTGTCCCAGACTGCTTCCTTCAAGCAGACCAAGAGGCTGCCCAACCAGAAGGTGCTCTACTTAATCTTCACCATAGTGCTGGTCTTCTGGGCTTGCTTTTTGCCTTTCTGGATATGGCAGCTCCTCTTCCAGTATTATGAATCCTTCCCTTTATCTCCCAAGGTGATGAAGAACATTAATTACCTGACAACCTGCCTGACCTACAGCAACAGCTGCATCAACCCCTTCCTCTACACCCTGCTCACCAAAAACTACAGGGAGTACCTGAAGAACAGGCAGAGGTCCCTCAGCAGCAGCAGTGGGTACTTCCAGAGGAGGAATCGCTTCCAGAGGATTTCAGGGAGATCCCTGTCCACCAGCAGCCAGCACTGCACAGAGACTTACGTCCTTGCTCACGCTCCTCTGGGAAACAGCAGTGCCTGAAGGTAAAATTTATCTCCAAGAACAATCAATACTGACTTCAATGTTGCTCTGATTTAAAGTGCACGTTGTGCAGGCCAAGCCTTCGCAGTGCACACATTTAGTCCAGAGGCTGTGCCGTGTGTCTGCTCTCATTTCTCCAGTGCCACTGATTTGATGCTAGCAGCACTAAGCTGAACATCTATCTAAATAGCCTTTCACTTTTTATCTTTATATTTTATAGTGGATGTCTCCTCAAGTAGCCATCAATAATGAAAGCCCATAACAGGGCCATGATTTTTAATAGTATCAGCTGTCTCACAACGTTTAAAATTATGTTACCCCGTGAATGGCTGTAGTGTGCTCTTTTTTCCTTTAGCAGTAGTGCTCAATTTGTAGTTGTATGAGGACTGAAGACAATTAAATAAAGAAAAAGCAGCTGATGTTTTGAAATTCCATGCAGTTTTGCATTTGGGGTAGGAGTGGACAAAGTGGATGAGGCATATCCAGGGTTGCTGGTCCTGGTTTGGGTGATGCTCACACTTATTCTGCACTCTTGTCTGTGCACTGGGCTGGGTTCTCCAGTCACACAGGTGTGTGGAGTTACACCATGGTCCTTGTCAGCAGCACAGGCTTCCCATGGCAGTGCCACAGGCAGGGAACACTCAGCATGTCCAAACAGCCATGAGGAGCAGCATCATCTGCCCTGGGCAAGCATTTCCACCCTCTGCCCTTCTCCAAGGAGGAATTGGGCACCTCTGATGAGGCCCTGTCCTCAGGGCATCTGCTGGCAAACAACTGCAGCATCCAGCCTGAAGCACCAGACCTCCACCCCCAAGTCCAGGAGGAAAGGACAGAGGGAGAGGAGGGGGTTGAGGAGATGTGGTTTTCCACAGGCAATGTTCTCTGAAGTGCTTAATACTCCCAGCTGTAAAAGTGGTGGTTCTTGGTTAGGGAGACAACTTGTTCCCTTCACTGGAAGTGATTTTGCCTTTCTGCTACAAAAACATAGCCCTGCTTACACCAATATTATAGTGCCTGTCCTGGCTTTCCCCAATGATGAGGCATCATTAGAATAAACATATAATCTGTGATGTCTGGAACTTCCCCAGTGAGTCAAAAATACCTTCTCTGGGATGCTGCCAACATCCCTACAGGAGTCCTCTGCTTGCAGCAGCCCTGCTTCCTCATTAGCAGGGATGTGAGGATGCAATGCCAACACAGCCAAGCTACAGAATTAGAACCAAATGAATTCTGAGCAGCAAACTCAGAACTGCAGTGTGAAATCCCTCTGGCAGTGAGCTCTGGTTGCTTAGACTGAGCCTGAATTCAGAATTTTAACATCTATTCCCCTTCAAGGTGTTGAAATGGTCACAGGGTAAGATCTGCACGCAGCCTTCCTGGGGAATACACTTGGACAAGTCATTGTCTCTTCCATGCATGGGCTTGAAGTTTGTTATGAATGGGGGAAGGTTCACACATGAGAGAGGGCTCTGGTGAATGCAGTTGTACTGCTGAACTTCTGCTGGAACTGGAAGGGGCTTTGATTCATTCCCAGTCCTCTCCACACACCCCATCAGCAGTGCTCCTGGGGTCAGGGTGCTTTACCTGCTTGCTGTGCAGTGTGCCAGCAGCTCCCACATAAGGATCAGCCCCTTCCTGATCCCAGAGAATTCACAGAATTCACAGAATTACTAGGTTTAGAAGAGACCTTCAAGATCATTAAGTCCAACCCAGCCCCAACCCCTCACCCAAACCCTGGCACCCAGTGCCACATCCAGGCTTTGTTAAACACACCCAGGGATGGGGACTCCACCACCTCCCCGGGCAGCCATTCCAGAACTTTATCACTCTTTCTGTAAAACACTTTTTCCTGATATCCAGCCTGTATTTCCCTTGGTGCAGCTTGAGGCTGTGTCTCTTGAGGGGCAGGAATACCACAGATTTGGCCATTTCCTGAGCTGGCAGCACTTGTTGGCTTTCACACCATCTCAGCTTGGAGACACATTAGTGAGGGCCCATTAGAGGGAGTGAAGCACCTTCAACCCTCTGTGAGGGAGTGGGAGCCCATGGACGGGGTGATGAGGTTTGTTATGGAATCACAAAGATTGGAGGAGACCTTCAGGACTGAGTCCAGCCATTACCATTACCATTGACCACCACCACCACATTAATCATTACCCACCACCATATTACCCATTCCCATTAACCACCATCACATTAACCATTCCCATTAACCACCACCACCATATTAACCATTACCATTAACCACCACATTAACCTTTACCATTAACCATTCCCATTAACCACCACCACCACATTTACCATTACCATTAACCATTGCCATTAACCACCACCACCACATTAACCATTCCCATTAACCATCACCACCACATTAACCATTACCATTAACCATTCCCATTAACCACCACCACCACATTAACCATTACCATTAACCACCATATTAATCATTACCATTAACCACCACCACATTAACCATTACCATTTACCACCACCACCACATTAACCATCACCATTACCAGCACCACCTCGTTCACCACATGTCCCCCAGTGCCACATGCACTGCACACATTTTGGACACTTTCAAGGATGCAAGGATGGTGATTCCACACCTCCTTGGGCAGCCTGTTCCAATGCCTGACCTCCCCTACATGGAAGAATTTTTCCTAATATCAAATTTAATTTCCTGAACCCGTTTTCCACTTGTATAGTCAGGGATTTAACATGAGTCAGAATGTAAAGTTTAGCCTCCTTTTTTTTTTCCTTTCAAATGGCAGTTTTAGCTTCTCCTTGCCCAGGAAGAGCCAGATAAGCTCAGGATGAGCAGTTCCCATGTTTGTGATGGAAAGCTGCTGCAGCCTGAGCCTTTAGAAAGCACTGTCCATCTTGCCTAAAATCAGACAGTCAAAGTGACAGGGGGTTTGCAAATCTCACCTCATCCAGGCCTCACCCACCCATGCAGACAGTGCAGAAGCTACTGAAATATATTGGAGCAGATCTGCTTCCATTATTCAGTCTGACCCCTTCACCCTCAGCAGCTCTGCTCTGATTCTCTGCTCCAAACCCTCCCCAAGCAATCCATCTCACAGAAAAGCTTTGCAAAACGCCCTTCATGGCTCTGGCAGTGCAGGGAGCACCCTGAGCAGCGTGTTGAAGGCACAAGACCATGCCAGAGACCAGGGAAAGGAGCTGGGGTTCCCTGCTTCCCTGGAAGGACACACAGCCTCAGCCCTTCTCCTTTGGAGCTTGTGCTGTCTCAGCAGGGGCTGGGGATGTGTTTGTCAAATCAGCACAACAAAGCCAAGAGGAAAGGCACCCCCAGGTCAGGGAGTGGCTGTGGGTCATGCTCCTGTCCATGCTGGGTCATCTCTGAAGGATGAGATGTTTCATTCATTTCCCTTCCCACCCCAGGCTGGAGTTGGTTTTTGCTCCTTCAAGCACTCACCTCCTTCAGCACCCAGCTCAGGCAGCAATGAGGGAACAGCAATCCAAGCCTGCAGCTACCAGCAAGGCTCTGAGCACTTCCCAAGCAGCTGAGTCCCGGCCCTGCATCCCAAACTAACTCTGCAAAGCACCAGCCACACTCAGACAACACCAGGGAGCTGCTCTCTGCCTGAAAGCAAAGAGCAGCTCAGCCCCCAGAGCCTGCTGAATATTAACAGGGAGCAGGGGCAGCAGAGAGAGCCAAAGAAGGAGCTGCCTCCTCCAAGACACAGATTAATTGTGTGCTTAGTGATAGCTGCAAAATTATTGTGCCCTGCTTATTCCTCCTCGTACAAACCCATCATCAGTCAAAGACCCAAGAGCAGCCCTTTGCATAAATTAAATCTGAAACTGGTGTGAAAGAGGAGTGTCTGTACCTGTGGCTGTGTGTGGTGGTGTTTGCAGGGGTCTCAGGATGAGGGAGAAGATGAGAATCTTGACTCCATGTTTCAGAAGGCTGATTTATTATTTTATTATATAAATTCTGTTTAAAAAAATTACATACTAAAAGTATACTAAAAGAATAGAAGAAAGGATTTCATCAGAAGGCTTGAAAGGAATGATAATAAAATCTTGTGACTGCTCACAGCCTAGAGACAGCTGGCTGTCACTGGTCACCAAATAAAACAATTTCACATGCTGGGTAAACAATTCTCTAAATCACATTCCAAAGCAGCAAAACTTTGCTGCTGAGGCTTCTCAGCTTCTCAGGAGAAAAGATACTAACAAAAGGATTTTTCATAAAATATGTCTGTGACAGCTGTGGGCTTGCATAGCTCATACCTGGCTCTCTTTGTTCATTTTTCCCTGTGGGGTAAGGCCAGGAGTTCTGTCATGATCCCAAATCCTTAAGTCCCCCCATCTCTGAGGTGTTTGAAGCCCCACAGACTGCAATCACCAGCTGAACTCCAAATAGCAGAAGCCAAAACACCAAATTTTTTGCCCATTTAAGCCAGGAAGCATTAACAATATCTCAAAACTTATAGAAAGTGTAGTTGTAAATAGTCCAGAGTTTTCCAAAAGGGCCAGATCAGTGCTCCTAGAGCTAGGAAAGGCCAGGTACCCACTCTGGTGGCTGAAGCAGGCAGCAAACACAGCTGGGGCCAGGCAGTGCTCTCAGCTTTGCTCTTTGCCAGCAAAGGATGACATCTATGTTTACCCAAATGATTTACAAATCCACCCAGAAATTTAAGAATCCTTCTGGAAATTCTTTTATTTCTTCTTTTCCTAAATTCTGAGTTGTCTGGTTCCAGCCTTTAGGAGGCAAAACAGCACAATTCCTCACTTCAGGATGAAGCTTTACCCATCAGTTTGCTTACACTTAATTTTAAAAAGCCTTTTTCCATTTTGTTCAGACCACAGGACTTTTGTAAGAGTCCAAGCAGGAGAGCAGAGAGCAGCTGTGCAAACCCTGCCTGGACAGGGTGGTGCCCACCAAGCTGCCACCCCTGCCCAATGCCCACAAGGGCACAAAGCTCCATCCTCAGCTGCTGCTGGAGCCTGGGCTGGGCTCAGTTTGAGCCCCCTCCTTGTCCCTGCAGCCCAGAGAGTGCAAGGCCACCCTGCCCTGCTGTGACACAGCCAGCCCAGAGCTCCTCAGCCTCCACAAAAACCTCAGCACAAGCTCCCAGACAGGGTCTGGGCAGTATTGTGCACATTTTGGTTCACTTGCAGCTCAAGGCTGGCTGGGTGAGAGGTGGGATTTCTGGAGCACTGTGGCTCTTGGTCAGCAACAAATACACTACATAAACCTTCTATCAAGCTTTAAAAATTCTCTACAAACTCATTTCCCATATCAGGTGACTCCTTTCATTTCTCAGTGATTACCTGTTCCAAACATGTTTTATGAAAAATCCTTTCCTTAGGATTTTTAGTCCTGAGAAGCTGAGAGGCCTCAGAAACAAAATGTAAACATTGATTATCTGCTGCTGTGGAATGCAACAGGTGCATCTGTGATTGGTCTCATGTGCTTGTTTCTAATTAATGGCCAATCACAGTCAGCTGGCTCAGACTCTCTGGTCAGACACAAGATTTTATTATCACTCCTTTCTATTTTTTTTTCAAGCCTTCTGATGAAATCCTTCCTTCTATTCTTTTAGTATAGTTTTAATAGATCATTTTCTTTTAATCTAATATATATCATAAAATAATAAATCAGCTTTCTGAAACATGGAATCAAGATTCTCATCTCTTCCCTCATCCTGGGACCCCTGTGAACACCACCACCAAATTTGGTGACTCTGAGTGAAGAAAAATTCCACATTTGGTGAGTCCCCAGAGGAACATTGCCACAATTACCCCACAGGATCAGGGGGTGAGGGCTGTGTGACAATGTGTGACAATCTCCAGATTGTCAGGTTGTTGGATTAGACCCTTTTCTGATTTTGAGATGGGCAACTGAGCGGTGTTTTAAAAACTTTTATTCCATTTTAGGTTTTATGTCAAGAGTAAGACAATAGAGATATTATAAGTCATGCCATCACAATCAAAAGCCAACTATTTCCTAATTACAATACATTGTAAGTGTTTCTCAACCTATCAGTTTTAACCACACCATGTTATAAATACTTTAAAACCAATCACCTAAATTACTCCTCATAAGTCTTACTACAATAAATCTTTCATAGTTCTATTTCTCCAAAGTATCTAGTCTTATTTACAAGACCATCTTTTAAAACTGATTTATAATTCCACTTGTCTCTCTACAATGTCTATCCTACTCTACAACATTTCTAAATCAACACCCCTTATCTCAAAATTTACATACAAATATACCACATGAACCTTCTATCAAGCTTTAAAAATTCTCTACAAACTCATTTCCCACATCAGGTGATTCCTTTCATTTGTCTGGGGTGTGTGCTCAGAAATTTCTCCATTCAGTGTTTGCTCCAGGACATTAAAAGGAAAACTGAGCAGAGCTTGGAGAACAAATCCAGCCCTTGGCAGAGCTGCCTAGGAAAAAACCATTCCTGCTGCCAGTGCTGCCCCAAGGGCATCTGCTGTGGCTGCCAACCAGGATGTCTCCACTGAAATGATCTCAGACTGGCTGCTCTGGGCATTTTCCTTTCTCAAAATGCGCAATTAAATCCTGAGACCTCCACACAGCCACTGCTCCTTCTCCAGGTCAAACTCCAGCTGTATCTCCAGTGCAACAGTGAAGAATTCATTGAAAGAAAAATATCAGACCTTGTCTTGTGCTTTGCAGCTTTGCTTTAAAATGATATTTTATTATTGTTCTGTGCAGCCCTGGATCAGGCCAGCTCTGCAGGGGCATCTTTGCCATCTATTTACTGCACAAGCTGCCATATCCTGGAAAACTGTGTCAGTTCTAAATCATTCTGACCATTTTTGCACCTCCAAAATCAGTATCTTATCTGCAAGTCCTGCTTAGAGCTGATTTTCAGCTGAGGATGCTGATCCAGGCATGTCAGAAGTGTGGTGGAATCAAAAGCAAGAGCAGAGAATGAACTCTGCTGCCAGAATATAGAGGAGTATCTGAAAATGGGCTGCAAATGGCAAGGCACAGGAAAAGCAGGTGATTTTTTGCTGACTCCCAGTTTTTTCAGTGTAGTAAAAATGAAAATTCACTACAAACATTGCAGAAAATAAATAAATAAATCCCTCATCTCTGAGTAAAGGCTGAGCAGCAGATAAATCCAAAGCAGCAGATAAATCCAAATTTCATTCTGGCTTCCCAGGAATAAACACCCCACCAAAGTACTCAAAGATCAGGGAATTCATCTATCAAAAATTCAGAGTTTTCTCTGCATACTGAAGGCTCGCTGCTAAATCCACTTTTCCCAAACATTTATCACCTGTGAAGCCATCTGTCTGTGAGGAAAGCACATTTTTGCCAAAAGAGGAAGTGTAAATATCACAATTTGTGTTTCAAAGACCAGACCACTCAAGCGTGCATAATTTCAGCTGTTATTAGCTTTAATTACATGTCAAGTAGTGCTGTTATTAGTTCAAAGCTGTCTAGGAAGATGAAAATAGAGCACAATAAGTGCAAATATATGACAAAAATCGGTGAAATGACCTGCCTCAGTGGTGGAGTGGAACATCCCCTGGCACAGGGGCAGACAGGACAGGATTTACCACACCAGCTCTGACTGTCACAACCATCCCTGGCCAATTCTGGCATCTCCCTTTCACAGATATCCTGGAAGTCCCAAAACAGAGTTAATTCATTGACATCAACTGCAGTTCCAGCCACAAAACATCCAAAACCTTTTTTTTTGGTTTTTTTTCAGGCATGCTAAAGGCAGCACAAGGGGTGCACCCTCCAATGGACAGATACGGATATACTAAAACTATACTAAAAGAATAGAAGAAAGGATTTCATCAGAAGGCTAGCAAGGAATAGAAAGGAATGATAATAAGTAAATTACTCTTTGTGGATTAATTTATTTTGAGGATCTTGTGATCTTTAGAGGATCTTTCTTGTGGGAAAGAAAGGCGATGCCAGGAGTGAGGTGTGAGCATCAGTAAGGAAATTCTTTGAGCCCTATGAACATGAGAATCAAATATTATGACAAGAGTTTCTAATTTTTAATCACTATTTCACAAAGGGGAAAAAATCATAAAAGGAGGGAGGTTTCATCCATACCCCAGTGGCAACAGGCACCCACGTGCTTTGGGAATTAAAGTAGCAACACTCCCTCCAAGATTTTCCTTTCCATGCTGAATTTGGTGCCCAAATCTGAGCACACTGGGCAGCAGAAGTGCACTTTGGCTTTTTCTGTGTTTGTGTTTATTTGAAACACAACAGGAAACACAGGCAGCAAAGCCTCCTGCTGATTGCTTAGTTCAGTTCATGGCTTGCTGCTCAGAGGAGAGTGTAACATAATTAATTCATTAACTGCAAACGTTCTACAAACAGAATCGCTCCATGTTTATGTGAACTGCAAAATATTTATGTGAAGCTGTGTTTGTGTGAATCACTCTGGTCCTCTCTGGTATCCTCAGAGGAGAAATTCCTTCAGGGTCCAGAGCAGGGACTGTAGAGAGCTCAGTTCCGAGCACAAGGCTCAGATTTGCCACTGCCACTGATGCCTCAGATTTTAGGTTTTTGGGGTTTTTTTCAGGTTCTGTGCTGCTTTAGTGTGTGGGTCTGAGCTTCATATGAGGGGATGGTGAGCTCTGTGCACAGAGCAGGGAGACAAAACAATTCCTGCTCCAGCTGGGCACCAAGGACAAATGATCCAAATCTCAGCCCAGGAGCACAAACACCGTGGGCTGGAGAGAGAAAAACAAGGATGGGACCGGATGGGCTAAAGCTGGAATGGGACAATGAACTGCAAGATGCAAATGGAGCAGAACTGATCACAGTGACAGACCCCGTGCCCGGTTGTGCATTTTGGGGCCATTTTGGTTCATCTTGGGTGCAGCCCTGGCTGGGCTCTTGTGCTGCCCAAGGTGGATCCATGGAGGAGATCCTTTTCATAAATCCCTGCTTTATTCTCTAACTCTGTCCAGCCTCTGTTCTAGCTCAGCCTGCACAAGGCATCACCGGCAGCCCCAGCAGCCTCTGACCCAGGTTCCCTCCCAGGTTCCCTCCCTGGGCTCAGAGGGTCTCCATCCCAGCCACTCCACCTGGGAGATGCTGGATCCCAAGAGCAGATCCCTGGATCCTCAGAGCAGCATCTCCACTGAAGCCCAGGGAGGAAAACATCCTCAGGTAGTTTGGGAACACTTTGGAAAAACTGGAGAGGAGCAAGGCAGGGGCAGAGCAGCAGGTGGAGCCCACCTGGCATTGACTGAAATGGGCAGGGACCCCGAGGAAAAGTCTGAGTGTGAGGAATATGGGCCAAAGCACACAGGGAGCCCAGGACTGAGACGTTCAGGCTGAGATTTCTGGAAGAAATACATGTTTAATTTTCCGCAGAGCCTACCTATCCTATGCTTTTGGCTGAGGCTATTAATTTCTTATTTCATGCCAATTAAGCTTTCCAAGGAAAAGCTACAAGTCTCTAAACAATAAAAGCAGGTTTGTTTCCCCTGGAGTTAATGCAGTTGTAAAAATTTATACTAAAAACAAACTCTGAAGTCAAAACCAAAAGCACCCCAAACATTTTTGATCTCCTGAGTCCAGGAAATCTGCATTTCAGCTGCCCACATGAGTAACAGTGAAGATCTCAAGTGATCCCATGAATGACAAGTGAGTCCATTTACTAGGATTTGAAAAATTCACAAGTGAGACCTACCCCATCACACCAAAATCTGTGCAAAACCATTGAAGTGAGGTGGAATTTCCAACATTTCCCAGTCCTTGGAGTATCAGAGAATGGTAAATTTCCTCTCTTCAAGGGCAGCCTGTGCTGTTCCAGCCTCCTCCTCCTCCTCCTCCATTTGGGTTTCAGTACAGCAGCTTTGGCCATCTGGCTTCATTAGAACATCATCCCTGGCTTCTTTGTGATGGACCAAAAATAGTAAAAGCAGTTTCCCTTTTGGCATTTAGCAAGCCAACTGGTGCATTGATTAAGATTTAGTTTAGCTAATTAAGGAAGAGAACATCTTTGTAAGCTGCTTGATTTGTTTTCTGCTGCCTAAAACTTCTTCCTTGCTTTGAAACCTGTGTCTGGAAAGATCTGCTGTTGGGCCAACCTGCGCCAGAGCAAACCCTGAGGCAAACACCAAATGCTGCCACGCTCCTGCGCTGCAGCAAGGAAGGAGCTTTAATTTATGCCATCCCTGATTAATGGATTAATGGAGCTGAAACTTAATTACCCCTTTGAGAAAACAACCAGAACCAGCAGGATTTTGGGCACTCATGCAGACCAAACTGAAGCTGTTCTTTGTGGTTGTCTTGCTCAGGAAGGCTGGGCCTGCTCTGTGCCCAGCTGGGCTCCGTCCCACCCATGGAGCTCCCACCCTCAGGCTCCCTGCCCAGGCTAAAGGAATAAATGATTGCAGTGCATAGAGCAGCTGTGATCAGCCAGCAGAGGCCTAAAAGGCTCTTTTTCCACCCTGCAGGAGCACCAAAATATTAAAATCCTTGACCAAAAAGAGAAACCTACAGGCTCCCAAGCCTAGGTTTGCATTGATTGAGGATGGTCTTGCATAGCTTACGAATCACAAATATCTGCCTTAAACATTTTCTTGGAGGAAAAGAACCTTCTCAAAGGTGATGAGAAGCAAAAGATTAATTTGTATCTCAACACCTGAAGAACAAAACATCCTTCTCAGGAGCAGGAGGTGGTGATTGCACCCTTCCCACATGAAGAATACACAGAATGACCAGGTTGGAAGATATTGAATTTGCAGGGAGCCCCCGATGAGGGGAGAGAATGATGCATCTGACTCTATCTTATCAGAAGGCTAATTAATTACTTTATTATACTATATTATTCTATACTATATTACACTATATTACATTATATCTTAACTCAATCTGCCAAGCACTCAACTCTGCACACCCTGCACAGAATGTCATGGCTGTCAGCCCACAGTCCCAACACACGCACAAACATTGGCTTGATAGGCCAAGGAAACAAAACACCATCACTTTGGATAAACAATCTCCATTTTGCATCCTATTTTTGCACAAACACAGGCACAGCAAATGAGATAAAAACATTCTTGGGGAAAAAATGCACCTTGCTTTTCTCTGTGAAGAGAAATGTGGGGCTACACACTTGGCCCTGACAGGCCAAGGAAACAAAACATCATCACTTTGGGTAAACAGTCTCCATTTGCACTAACATAGGCACAGGAAATGATAAGAATTGTTTTTCCTTTCTCTGAGGTTCAGAGAATGTAAAACCTAGAAATATTCTTGGGAAAAATTGTGCCTCGCTTTTCTCTATGAAGAGAAATGTGGTGACAGGAAGAGACCTTCAAGATCATTGAGTCCAACCCAGCCCCAGCACCTCAACTAAACCCTGGCACCCAGTGCCACATCCAGGCTTTGTTAAACACACCCAGGGATGGGGACTCCACCACCTCCCCGGGCAGCCATTCCAGAACTTTATCACTCTTTCTGTAAAAAACTTTTTCTAATATTTAACCTACATTTCCCTTGGCACAGCTTGAGACTGTGTGCTCTGAAATCCCTCCCCACAGCATGGAGGGGAGCAATGGAGATGTGCTGAAGACACTTGGCTGAAACCGAAGGAATTTTGGTGAAAATGGCTCCAAACACAGCCTTTCAGGTGAACCCAGGCCAGTCCATCAACTTTTCTGTGTTTGGGATTCTCATCACTAACCTGCCTTTTCTCTCCCCCAGTTTTGTCCCTCTGTTCAGGACACAAATTCCCCAGCACACTGAGTACTTCTTACAAACCCTGCACAGAAGATGCTCAGAACAGTGGGGCCACAAATGTGAGCAGTGACTTCAAAAGCAGCGTGGCACAAACAACACATTTCAGCTGCTAATGGTGAAAGCAAAGGTATTTTCTAGAGAGAGGCTTTAATCCTGTACAAAGCTGCCCACAGCACCCACCATCCCTGTTCCTGAGCAAGGAAGGGACAGGACATTGTCTCTGCAGAACAAACTGTTGGATAAAGGGGTTTTTTTATTTAGAAAGGGGTAATTGAGAGGTGTTTTAAAAACTTTTATTATTTTTTTAGTTTATGTGAAGGGTGAGACAATATATATGTTATAATTTACATTATTACAATTAGAAGTTAACTATTTTTAAATTATATATAATACATTATAAGTGGTTTTTAGTTTTTGTTATACTATGTTGGAAATGCTTTAAAGCTGATTATTTAATATTATTTTTGTGGGTTTTACTATAATGTATTTTTTATAGTTTTATTTTTTTTTAAGTATTTAGTTTTATTTTTAAGGTTATTTTTTAAAACTTGTTTTTAGTTTTATTTTTCTTTTAATAGTGTTTGTTTTATTTTATGGTATTTTTAAGTCAGTATTTTTTATCTTAAGGTTTAGATATAAATGTATATTATGTAAGTTTTTTCTTAGCACAAAATTCATTTCCCACACAGACCTTACCCTGTGTTTGTTACCTTCTCTGTGAGATGGCTCTGCCTTTCCTGAGCCAGGTTATGCAGCTGCCTCCAGAGTCATTGCAGAAAATTTCCTTATTTTTCCCCTTTTTTATTTTATTTTTTTTCCATTGAGTAATAAAGCAGCTTTTCTGCCCTGCTGTGAAAAGCATGGATATCTCTGGATATGCACTTATGGAAGAGCTGCACTGGCATATTTAGAGCTTCTCCACTGGTCAGGTAAATCCATCAGTGACATGCAAAAATGCTGCCCAAAGGGATCAGTTTGCAGGAAAGGCATAAGTCAGGAAAGCAAGCTGCTCAGATGACCCAGGATTAGTTAAATGCAGTTTTTTCTCCTTAGAGAAGCTGCTGAATTTGCAGCT